TGGTCTAGCAATGACTTCTGCCAGCTCCCTCTGCACCCATGGGTGCATCCCATCATGGATTATGTATGGATTTATGTATGTCCAGTTTGCTTAACTGATCCCTAATCCAGTCCTCATCAACCAAGTCAAACTCCTCCTTTATCCTGACTTCCTCTGGGGCCTCAGGGATCTGAGGCTCCTGAGGACAGTCTCCAGCAGTATAGACAGAGGGAAAGAAGGCATTCAGTGACTCTGCCTTCTTTGTATCCTCTGTCACCACAGCACCCGCCTCATTTAACAGTGGGCCTACATTGCCTCTAGCGTTAGTTTTGTCTGCAATGTATTTGAAATAGCCCTTCAAAACCAGTATTTGTTCTTTCCATAATTTTTAGACAGCACTGGCTTTGCTAAATTGTTGGAAATGCTAAGTAATTAGTTTACTAAGGTTATTTCTAGACAACAGTTAAGTCTGCTACTGAAATTTTTATTTATGGACTGGTTTGTACTCTGTATTATATGCCTATCAGTTTTCTTCAAATAATTTTCAAACCTTCTGACCAGAGTTGACAGAGAGGTTGAGGTCTCAAAGCAAATAAATTTCTACGAGTTTCTTTAAAACTGGCAGACAAGTAGAAGAGAAAGACCCTCTCTATTTCCCGACTAGGAAAAAGGCTGCAGCCTTGGAAGGACAGAGAAGGTAAAGAGAGGAAGAGGAAAAGGGATAAATGCATGGGCTGTATTTGAAATTTCTTTAACAGTTCTCATCTTTTATCAAGATTACAGTTAAGAGATGCATACGCATAGGAAAGCAGGTTTCAGTAATTCCACATTTTACAGAGAAACTTGCTATCTACAGGGTAAAGTAAGGAAAACATGTTGATTTTGGCATGTACAGACTTCTAAGACATGTACTTCTGTTTCTCATTCAGGAAGATGATGCAGAGGCTGAGATAGCTGCCAGACAGTCCTAACTAGCACCCTTGATGTGCTCTGCTGTGTCCTAGGTGGCTTGATAGCTGGCAGAGCCCCTGGAACAGGCATAAAAAACCAAGCAACACAAGTCTAAGATGTCAGTTTTAAGATTTTACTAAATATATAAAATTGAACCAAGATCTTTGAATTTAAGAGAAAAACTGAAAGTTGGAAACTAATGCCTGTCTCTTTCAGGTATAGAGCAGTTGCATCCTGGAGTCGTGTTCAGGGAATTGGAATCCCTATGATAACTGCTATTGAAATTTTCTCCATTTGGCTTCTGTCCTTCATACTGGCAATTCCAGAAGCAATCGGTTTTGCTGTCGTACCTTTCAGATACAAGGATGAGGGTTATGTTACCTGCATGCTCAATCCTACAAATAATTTTATGTTGGTAAGTAACATCCTTTCTTCTCTTTTTGAAATCCACAGTATATAGGTTAGACAATTAAGATACTGGATTATAATACTCTTTATTCATCCATTAAAGTGCAAAATGTATTCTAATGTATATTGATGCAAAAAGGATCCTTCATGTACAGTGACCTGTCTCTACTTTCAGCCAGAGATACTAAATGGGACTTCGTAATATTTTCATTTGTTCACTACTGAGAACTCCTAATACAGGAATTTGCAATTTGGGCCTGCTTAAAGTACAATCAAGAGATGTATTAGGGTAGCCAGAGCCTTGGAAGGTATTACGTTTCTAGGTGTAACACCTTGGAGCTCGTAACTGTCAAAAACCATGTTTTACCATGATTAGTCATGGTTTTGCGTGCAGTAGCCAGCTCTTTTGGCAGACAAAGAAAAGGGTGGGGTCATGCTCTAACATAACTTTTCCTATTCTATATACACTTACAAAGTCAGAGAATAAACCCTTCATTTACAAGAAATCATGACTAGAAATCTGGCAGACTCACATCTCCAATCCAGGCAGCTTGGGCACTCTTAGCTGTCATCTAGATACAGCAACTCAAGAGCAAGAGAGGTGCCTGAGACACACCAGGCTTCTTTGGCATGTTTCATAGCCCTCATCCTCTGTGCTACTGCAGCTTAACAGTTGCCAATACCCACATTAGCTTGTTCAAAGCAAGTCAGGTGAGTAGTCACTACAGAATTAACAGATCTTTACTGCATAGGGCGATAGTGATTTTCCACCTGGACTTACACTGAGAAAATGGGAAAGTGGTATCTTAATTTTTTCTTTGTGAACCCAAAGAAGTGTCAGCCATCATTCACTCAGTATTTAAAAAAGAGTAGTGTTCTGTTTTGTTTCAGAGAAGGCAGACAGTGCAAGGTCTTATGTCTTGAAGGAAACTCCGTATTTTCTTCCAGACTAGAGTTTTTCATGATAGAGTGCATGTTTCTCTTTTTTGAATGTCTGGCACTTCTCCTTTTATTGGATCAGAATATGGCTAGGGCTACAATTGTGAAGGATAAGGCAAAACAGAGCTAGCAAGTTTAGTAAATAAAAAGTGTGGGTAATTAGTCTTTCTCAGAGGAACATCCCCAACTTTGGTAGGGTTACACAGACTGCAGGAATGGCAGAAAGAGCAGAAGACAACTGCAGGAGAAGTCAAAAGGAATTCCCTAACGGAAATAATTAATGTGGGTGAAGATGGAGTGGAATTGCCCAGGACTTACTCTATCTTTGTTTCTAAACTCTACAGGCCACATGACTGTAGATACTGTAGTTACAAGAATTCAATTTACGAAGTGCACACTGCTGCAAATTTCCCTTTTGCAATGGCTCTTTTTCTCCACAAATGTGCCTGAACAATCTTCACTTCCTCTCTCCCTAAGAAAAAGAATAGTTTTCCCTCTTCTCCAAAACACCACAGTTTAGGTCTTCCATAGGCATGCTAACTTTAAAGATTATTGTTGTGTTCTTAATGTGCTAAATAGAACAACTTGTTTTGTTTTATTAGCAGGAATTAGTATCTTTTACTTGCTCAGCATAATTCAAAAGATCCAAGTCTCCCCACACCAGTTTGATTTTCAAGGAAACAAACTAGCATTTATGTCCAAGCTGAGAGTAAATGTTGGAAGTGTCAGTCAAAATGAAGAGTGTTGTGTTTCTGTGCGTTGCAAGCAAGTGCAAACATAAGATTGAAATGGAAATACCATTTTAACCTGAACTATAGTATTTACTACCACAAACACCACAATAAACAATTAGTAAACTTTGGGAAGGATTTATGATTAACTTTTGTTTTTAATAGGAGCTTTATTCATGTTTAAAGCTATCCTTGAAAGACTTAAAAGATTCATGCTAGATCATGATTCCCAAGAGGCTGAGAGCACTAGGAAACTTGTTTAAAATTTACATTTCCTGTAGCAAACCAGTTCCATGTGGGCTTTTGAGACAAACAAAAGAATGTCTACTTCTCTTAAATCAACCCAATTTTGCGCTTTGATGTAAGCTTTGTGAAACTCAGATTCCACAATTAATCATTCACAGACATTTTCATGTAGGTTTTATAACTTCACAAAGCCAAGTCCTCATACAGAATAGGTTTGTTGGTCAGGGTTGTGACACAGCACTCTATGTGTATGTTTTCTTCACTGACAGGCAATGCTCACGAAAGTTGGTAGACAGATATGACAGAAAGTTTTCCTTGTAAACATAGCCTGGATTCACACAGTACACATTTTGTTGTGCTGCCCAATCAACATGATTCTAGTCTGACTTGGAGGAATTTGCCAGGGAAAAGAAAATTTTCTGCCTGTATTTGTAATCCTTTTCTCTGCAGAAGGAGTGATAATTAGATTTCCCCTCAGTACAAACTCTCCAAATATGAGGCATGCTGTTTTCTGGTTTTCTACTGGCAGAAGCTCTCTTCCCAGTGGGGGAAATTCTGCCCCCAAGGAGACTGTAACTATGCAGCAGACTGTAGCCCCTCCTCAAGTGGGGATGAGGCTGAGGAAGAAACAAGCTAATCAACACGATTCAAAATGTCCTGTGAGGTGAGGTTGTGGCCTAGATATCAGCAGCATACTTCAAATTAGTAAGCTTTGTAAGGAGCTAACTGTGTTGCGGCAAACGGAGAAATATCAAAAGCATTCCCTTTTTCTTAGCAGATCAACTTTCTAGTATAACTAAAGCAGATTTAAAACTGAACATTATTACATACTAGTCTATTAATTGCATCCATTTTTTTAACCTTTCAAAGTTTAGTACCGTTCAGTTTTAAATGTAAACAAGATGTCAAAATTTGTCTTTTTCAAACAGGAATCATATAATCCTCAGCTATTAGCATTTTGACATTGGGTGTGGGAACTGTGATGTTACAAGAGCACATCCGCTAGGAATAAACAAGCTAGGGGAAATATTATGAGAAAGAAGGTTCCCTTTTACACACATCCATCTCAGTGACTAATAACATAGGGACAGGAAGTATTTAAAATGTCATATTTCAGTGCACACTTTTCACTGAGCATTAAATTTAAAACCCAAGATACAATATTTTCCTAAGTCTGAAAAAACAATTGTCTACAGAAAAGAGTGATTTAAAATGTTTTGTCAAATGTAGTATTTCCCATAATAGATAAGTGTATTAACGTGAAACCACAACTTAAATCACAGCTAACGCTCAAAATTACACAGCAAATTACTACTACTCTATCAAATCCCTCAGTATCTTGTCACAAAAGGCAAATGGTATGAATGGCAGGCAAAGGGTTAAAAGTAACTGTACCACTAGAAGCCACCCATCCTAAGCTTTGCATATATCAGACAAACACTTATGAAGTGGCTCCTGTCTGCCCAGTACATAAGCAAACCAACTACCAATCTTTTCACTGATAACAAAAGGTGATTAAACTCACAAGACATTTTGAATTTTCCTTTTTTGGAATCAGGACAGAAGCCATAGAGGTAAATGGCATTTCCTGAGACAGGCTTTTAGTAAGATCTGTTATCTCAAACTGTCTACATTTTGGCACGTCTTTTTCATGAAACTGGATTTCAGTTTTCATGAATGAGTGGAAATGTTCAGAAAACACAACCAAAGAAAATTAAATCCAAGACAGGTTGTAACAAGGGTACAGGCAGGCTATCAGTAAGGTAAAATAAATGTTTACACTGCTGCAATTTCCATTTTGATGTTGATGCAAACCAGATCAACAATAAGAAATTTTACATAATTTACATAAATTTACAAGAAGAAGGATACCAGTGTAGCAATTGCCATGCTTTTCTGTGGTACTTTTCATTGAATCATAAAAAAATACCTTCTCTTTTCTTTACCTTATCTACAGTTTTACAAAGATGCAAAGGATTGGTGGCTGTTTGGTTTCTATTTCTGCATGCCACTGGCATGTACTGCCATCTTTTATACACTAATGACTTGTGAAATGTTAAACAGAAGAAACAGCAACTTGAGAATCGCTCTCAGTGAACACCTTAAGCAGGTAAATATCAGGAACACCAATGTTTGATAATATTGTTCTCTCTCTGAGATAACTTAGAACTATGTTTCAAAGTGTACTTGAACACAGTAAATTACAGAAATAGAAGGTGAGGGTGTAGGTTATTTATGACATAAAGGTATTCATCTACACCAAGAACACAAGACTAAATCATAGTATAAGAGGTATTGAAGACAGCACCCTCAGGAAACTAGCCAGTTTATTTCTTTCCTTAAGTATGTATGACGGTTGTGCCCTCCTGCTCTTTAACCTCAAATCACTGCTGGCTAAACACTTTGAAATTTAACTACAAAGATTTGCCAAAAAAATGTTTCTTTTTATTCGTAAAGATATGACTCCATGGGTCCTCCCTACTTTAGGCACACTTTGATATTCAACTTCAGTTTCATATAAAAAGCAATGGTAGAATAACCTGTTTTAGAATAGAGTGGATTTTTTTTTTTCAGGGTTATTGCACTGTTGAAGTACCACTACTGTAGCTGCTTTGAAAAGAGCAACAGAGGAATAGTACAAACAAATGATCACAGAGTAAAGTCACTCACAGAACTGTCAGATCTCACTTTGCTGTTTTTTGCAGCACTGTCTGATGTTTAATTCCTAACTGAAATTTTAAAAACAATCTGTGGCTTTTCCCCTGCGTTAGGGTCAGCCCCTCAAATTCCACTCCTTTTAAATTCCACATTCACAGATGTGAATCCCTAAAGCAGTCCCCTCTGCATCGCAGTGAGTGCTCTCAGAGGTTCCTTGTCTGCTGGTTCATTCCAGATCGGGGCAGATTGGAAAATTCCCCCCTTGTGCACATCCTCCACTTTTCCCCTCATCAGGCCCCAGGGCTTGCCACACAGTCTGTCCTAGGGCCACACACCAGTTACTCCACCCATTAGAACTAGAATGGTATGTAGGGGGTGTGGGAATCCACCCTCCAGCTTTCCCATCCTGATGCAGCAAGCTACTGAGACTGGTTGCTGGAAGGTGACTTTATGCCACAATTTACAAATGCTTGTCTTTTTAACTATCACCTTTTGCCCATCTTTCTTCCTTTCTTCCCTACAGCCTTGTCCACATTAATGTCTGGTCACAATCCTTTTTGTATTTTGATAAAAACTGCTACTGTAAGAAGGAAGGAACAACAATAGTCATATTTAAAGCCTAACAAGATTTACTGTAATCACACATTTAATGACAGAGCCTTGCAATGCTTGCTATTGTTACATTGCAGTGGCAGTTTCAGAAGTGGTATTCTCGTTCCTTCATATGCTTCTCTTTAACTATTCCATGCCTACCAACACCACTGGTATACATTGTCAAAAATCCACTAAGACAGCTGTAAATCTCTAGAGCCATATAAAATATCCACTAAACTGAAATTATTTCCTGACCAAGTATTATGAGATTAAGTTGTAATACAGAAATTTCTGAAGTTTTGTTTGTAGAGGAACTATTTTTTAGGAAATCAAGATCACACAGCACAATTAATATGCTGTGCAGTATGCCTTTATGTAACATGAAGCATACTAAATATAAAATAATACATCAGCAAGGATTTCACATTCTGACTAGGTACGTGGTTGAACGGAACTTTTATTGCCAATTGATCTAGGTGCCTTGGGTTTATACATTGCTGCACATCAATGATTAGGTCCAAGTGGTATATCAAGCAGGTGTGACCCCGGTTTCCCTCATACCTGAAAAAATTTTCTTGCAGACTATGCATGTTTCTGAAGAAAGAGGTTTATCTGAGGTATTGCCAGAAAACTAATCCAGGGTAGAGGAATAAGAAGGGCTGGGAAAGTAATCAGGTTCAGGAAAGTCCAGGAGTAGATTTTCCTTAGCTAACATCTACAGTGTCCTGGCAATGACCTGTGGGCTGAAGCTGCTGCATTCACAGTGATGAGCAGGTTCTGTTGAGGATGGCCAGAATTAAGAACATGACAAGCCCCATAAAAAACTGTTCAGGGACATCAAGTAGTCTGGAGACTCCACTTTGGGAATTCTTGCATGCTTTGTCTAGATTACTCACTTTGCTGCCACTACTACGCTTCAACCACCTACCAATATGAATTAGGCAGTCACAGTTATCTTTGCTTTTTTTTCTAGCGTCGAGAAGTTGCAAAGACAGTTTTCTGTTTAGTAGTGATTTTTGCTCTTTGCTGGTTCCCTCTCCATTTGAGCCGAATTTTGAAGAAAATGGTATACAATGAAAGAGATCCCGGCAGATGTGAACTGCTCAGGTACTTCATTTTCTATGTCAATCAATTGTTTATACTGAAAAAATATAATGCCGCACACTTGGAGTTTATGTCATTGTGCATGCAACTGTGGTGTCAGAAGAGCAAACACTTCATGGCTTTCCAGCTGTGCCCGTTTTCAGGGGTTTCAGTTTTATCGGGTTAGCATAATTTCAATGAATGTTGTCTGCCACCATTGCAGTCACTTTCCTCTGGCTTTTGTGAACTTCCATGAGACCTAGCATGGTACAAGATCTAGGGTGCTCCCTAGATCGAGGGAGTTAGGTAAGAGACAATTAGTTTCTGTGACAGAAGAGGTTGTAACCACAAAGAGCATGGATGCTTCTACAGTATATGAACAGTTTAAATGTTTTGCTTTCTCTTTTGTTGCCTAGTTTCTTGCTGCCATTGGATTATATCAGCATCAACCTGGCAACCATGAACTCTTGTATAAACCCAATAGCTCTGTATTTTGTGAGCAAGAAGTTTAAAAACTGTTTCCAGGTAAGATCTTCTTAAGATTCTATGTCCAGTTAATGAACTGTATTAAACCACTTAGTTATTTTCTATTTTTAGCAGCTGGGAGAAGAGGCATACAAAGGAATGAAAGATTATAAATTGTCTAGTTTACCAGCTAGCAGCTCACATAGCACACATGCCAAACTGGAAGTGGAACTAACCGCTTTATCTGAAATGCTAAACCAGTAATTAAATTTGAAATAGTCCTGCTATGTAAACATGTGAACTGAGATAGACACGGTCTTGTCAGTACTATTTATCTGCATGTGACATGTACATGAAATAGAATTTGGTTGATGACATATTTCCCACTCTAGATGAAGACAAAGAACACATACATAGGACACCAAGCTGCCTGCGATTAAACAATCCCATTAACGACCACAATTTTCAGGCTTGAATACCAAAGCAGGCACCTGAGTTGACTTTGGCAATTAAATATGCATTATGGCTTTCACCTGCATTTTTCCAGTTCTTACACATGAAAACATCTTTAAAGGTTAAACTAATTTCCTTGTGACACTGGGCCTATGCACATCCCCAATTATATAATAAAGGCAATACAGGAAGAAAGGAAATGAGAGCATACAGTGGTAAAGAAAGTTATGAAATGGAAAAGGAAGACTGAAATAGCTTTATCTGCAAAGAAAGACAAGACAGCAGGACTGTACCGCTAAACTTCAAGTCTGTGAACAGGCAACTCAAGCTACTGAAAAAATGTAATAAATAATTAGAATAGAGAATACCTGTTTGTCTGTAGCCTGCTCAGACTTACAAGCTATTTTAAGGGAGTATTTTCAAGATAAGAAGTCAGCTTTCCTTTTTAGGGTCCTCTACTTCATTTGGGAGCTGTTGAGAGGATAATATGTCTGAACTTGTCCTCAGGTGAAATGGAGAATTAACAGTGGGTACTACCAGGCTGCTCTTCATATCATTAGTTAATTCTTCCCAGTTGTCCTTCAGAATAAAATTACCATCCAACAACTCTAATTCAAGAATTTTCAGCTAGTATTTAATCCTTCCCAGCTTCTCATTATAGCTTACCCTTTCCCTTCTAGTATCAAGGTTATTAATTCAGGCAATCTTTCCCTTTTGTATTTGAGTTTCTCACCCTACCTCCCTTCTCATTGAGTTCACAGAAGTCATGGAACTACTGCTGTTATTGCCATTGCTCCTCTGTGGCCCTAACACTTTCTGCTAAAGTAGAGATTCCATCTACATAGAATTAGGCACCAATTTTTGTGAAAGGAGGGAGAATAGCTGAAGAATCCTTTATGTTTCTTTCAGAAGAGACAACTGAACATACCAGCCTATGAAGAACCTGGGAGTATGATCCTGAATGACCTTCTGTTAACTGTGAAAAATGATACACCCCAATATATTCACTGGCCCTTTTCCTAAACAATTTTGTTGTCTTCAAAGTTGTGGAAGAGACTTAAGCCACAGGCTGGGCAATTTTCTTCTTTTCTCTCACATGCTAAGCAGCATGCTGATCCCAAAGTTTGAAGTGCAGTGATAAAGAGGGAAAAAGCCCTCGGATCTTGTATGTATTGATTGTCAGTTCTCAATCTATTTACCTTAGTCAAACAAATTTTGCTTTTGATACTGTGAATGCTTTTCTTAAATAAGAGGCACAGGCTGGGCTTAATTTGCTGTGTTTGTGATGTTTAACCACAGGAATTGTTTGCATCCTAGGATAAAAAATTTGCCTGAGTGCAGCTATCGCTCCCTTCGGCTAGAATCGTCTGTTCATTTCTGAATGAATACAGCTGGCAATCTGCATGGAGTTGATAGATTTGTGTTAACTTTTGTTTTTTTTATTTCCAGTCATGTCTTTGCTGTTGCTGCTCCCAGTCTAAGAGTCTAGTGACTTCAGTGCCCATGAATGGAACAAGCATTCAGTGGAAAAATCAAGAACTAAACAATCACAATACAGATCGAAGCAGCCATAAAGACAGCATAAACTGAAAATTAAGAACTCTGATATCACTTCAGAATCAAACAGGAAAGAAAAAGTCACAACAAAGCTATTCCAACAGGAAGCCCAGTGACTGTTTCGTAATCAATTCAGACATGTGCACCCTTGTACCTAATTCTAGAGGTGACTGAATAGATTGACTGACTATAACTGCAATGTTCTGTGAACTGAGATGCACTGGATGGTAATTCTGCCTCTGAAAATGATATTGATGTGATTATGACGCCAAAAAACTGACTTGAACTACACAGGTGGCTTGCTCTTCAGAACCAAGCAGGAACTGTCCAGTGTCTGTGACTGGTACAATTCAATCTTTTTACCCAATTGTCACCTAGAATTAATCACTCTGGAATTTTTCAGAAGATATCAAAATGCAATCTGTCTGTGACTCTATTTTTTGTCTGGCCATTTGTCTTTTCACTTTTATTTGTGTGGTGGAAATATTCCATGCACCAGTATGTTTTGCATGTTGTTGTTGTTGTTTTTCAGGTTTATGTTGGAAAATGTTTTGGTCCATACCAGTATTTTATTTACTTAATTTACAATGGGTCATGACATCAGCTGGGCAGTTCACATTTGTAGCACTTCAGTACTCAAAAATAGGAAGAGACCATTTAAAGTAGCACCAACATTTGGCACTTAAACAAAGATTAATACCAAAAAAAAGAGGTATTAATAATACAGTACTATACTGTGTTATTTATTTTAATGCTCTGTACAAAATAAACATAATCAATATCAGGAAAAAAAATGAAAGATGCCCACAGAGGGGCACCTTACAATGTGTTTTTAATTAACCTGCCATGTTAATTCTTAAACTATATGAACCTATTAATCTTTTTAGACTATAGCTGCATTAAATCTAAGTTGAAATGACAGTCAGTGGAACAGAATAAACATTATTAAAACTGTCCAAAGAGTTCTGAGAATATGGTTATTATCATAGCAACTATGCACATTAGTTACACATTGTGAACATGAAGTTATAGTCACAGTGAATGCAGAACTGTGTAAGTCTATAACAGTTGGATGTGCACAAGGATATTTTGTGCCTTCTGCTTACAGAGTTTTTTGTCTTACTCTCACAGTGTTCAAAGATTTTAATGGGGTTTGATAGTTTATTAGCATTGTTAACCACACAAATGCTATGAATAATAGATAGAAAATATTGCTTGCATACATGTAAACTGGTGATTTACTTACTATTTCGATCCATTATGGTTACATGGCAAGAGATTCCTTGTTTGGCTATAAAAATTTTTAATACATAGCCTTTCATTAAATAGTGGAACTAAATAGTGTGGTGTCATATATAATATGCCTCATGCACAAATCTGCTAGGAAACTTACAGCATCTGTTGTGCAAGGCTAAGAAGCAGTAATTAAAAATCCACAACTTTTTAAACATCTGTTACTTTTCAAATGAAAGATATATTCCTGCGTATTTTTATTTATGAGGTCAAAATGCTAGTGCCTACAGTGACTTCTGCTGCACAAGTTTCCCAAATGTTTACATTCACACAAACCTTCTAAAGTATATTAAAAAAAAAGTTCTTTAAATTGGTTTATGTATTTTTGTGTGCTTTTGTCTCTGTGACATATATGCGTGTATAAAGACATACAAATTTATGTTCATATGTTATAAACCTAAATACAGTCTTCTGACAGTGCTCTGTAGTAGTGCCTAAGAGCATGGTATTGAATGAGACTTGGCTCAGTTTTATTCTTTCAAAATATTTCATCCTCAAATTGTATCAAAAATCATAGTAAATAAGTAACAATGCTTTCCTTTGAGAAAATTGAATTTCTGAGTCTTTTTGCAACCTGACACCTTCACTGATCCTTTGACAGAATGTATTGAGCAGATGATAAAGGTAAACAGAAAACAGACATGAGGAATGGATTTAAGTTGTAAATTGCCCCTTCGATATTTCAAGTCAGGAAAAAGCTTTGTGCACATTCCCCTCTTCTGTTACTTATCTGATGGTTAGTTGAACCAAAAAATTCATACTCTACCAGCAAATCAATAATCTGATTGTTCAGAGACAATCTTTTCTACATGTCTATGTAGGACAGCGAGCAGTAGAGACAACCCAGGACAGAAACTTTAGGACTCAACTTCTACAAAAAACCCCAACTACCTGCAAAAGTTTCAGACCCTGAAATGGACCATTTTTAGGCTTTACAAGAACTGATAGCAACCACAAGTCATGAAAAGCTACCAGTTTTCCTTCTGGCATTAACACTTCAAACATCTATTGCTTTCAAAACAATAGCTAGCTCCATTATGTGGCAAAGACATATGCATGTGCAAACATAAAGCATACTTCAAGCCAGTTCAGCCTAGATGAAAAAAACATCTTCCTACTCCTCAAAGAGCTGACTGGCCTTAGCGGCAGCATTATAAAATATGAAACTTTAACTAAAGAAAAAAAAAAGAGGATAAAGTATCTAACAGATGTGAGAGGTGTTTTTTAGAATGCTTTATAATGATTTTTGGAAGCTTATTTGGGGATCAAAGCCTGCAAAAACTAATTGGTGATCCTCATTCCATGTCCTCCAGCCAGTGGAAGGACAGACAGAGCCTAAATAAGAGTGACAAGTGAGGTCTCCGCAGGTCTCAGACTTTTTTTTGCCATGCATGCTCTTTTGTATTTTCACTGGCAGCTGTTGCTCCCACTCACAAACCAATCATAAGGGCAAAGGGTGTTGCGATGTGGCAATTATGGTGAGGCGGGACCTCTTTCTGTAAAACTAAGGTACTTTTAAAATTCTCTTTTATTCTTCACACTGATAAAGGTAACTATTCCTCCTAGTATTGTATCTAACCTCAATTCTGAAAAAGCTACCTTTCCAAAAGAACCAATAAAAGTCTTCCACGATTCTGAAATTCAATTATATTTAATTTTAAACTTTTCTTTTTCCTACCAAGTTCTGCAAAAATGTGCTCTATTATTTCTCTTCGTGCATCAAAACCAGTGTAGGTTTAGTTGCGTTTTACCTCTGCTGTTCCACAGGAGATGCTTTCTCTTTTACATCAGCACAACTTTCCACAACAAGTATCCTTCCATCTTCCTCTTGTTTTATAGATATGTTTATGTCTGCTGTTTGCATTCCTCTCAGACGAACCAAGCCTAGCTTTTCTCTGCAGCTGACAGGATCTCTAAAGTTTCAGATTAATTTCTTACACTTTCTGTAACATCTGTTCATCATAAGCAAAATCCATTTAACTATCACAATCATCTTTTTTGTGGACTTCACAATTGCCAACTCTTTTCAGTCCAGTTCAGTGTGTCATTTCATTGAATGTTTCCCCTTACATACAGTCTCACATCTCAACTTCAGACACTTTGCAGAGTTAATTTTGGAATCATTATTCTCCCTGTTTTCAACATGGGTTTTTTTTTCAAATTACCTCACTAAAAATTTCCTCTTTAGTATATTTTATACTTATTTGCTTCAAAGATACAGCATGCATAGGTTTTCATCTATATTTATGTTTGTATTTATTTATTTACATATGAAACTGTGATTCAGATCTGATCTAGACAGCTCCTATACTTTGGAAAAGAGTGCCTATGTAGAGATCATCATAAATCTCATCTGATAGAACTGCTAGCTTGGTTCTGTGAAAGGAGGCTTATGCAACCCTTGTGTCTGAATATATTTATTTTTGCTTTTAATATAGTCAGTTTCAGGTGTTTACCTGTCCGTCCCTCCATCTTTCAAAACCAACTATGAACTCCCTACCGAATTTCAATAAATTTTCCAGAAGAGTTACGATCATTATGAAGTTACAGAGAATTTCACAAAAATTGCAGGATGGGCAGAAGAACAAAACCCTACTTGTGCTGTAGACAGAAAATTGCTGAAATGGAGTTTATATGTACTCAACAAATTCACATGATAGAGAGATGTTATGAACATTACAGATGCAGAAAAAGCTTTGATGAGAGCTTGCAACTTGTATGACATCTGAGAATCAAACCACAACACACAAATTCTTGGAAACCAGTATTTGTAAGTTCCATTGATTGTGGAATTACTTGCTTTTTTGCTGTCTCTCTCTCATCATTTCATATTTATCACAATCTTTTTACTATATCATTTGATTCTGTGAAGCCTTATGGGTTTCAATTTGTGAGAAGACATGGTACAAATTCAAATTCTGCTGCATTTGTATGAACAGATTTCTGCTCAAATGCCCCAGAGGCAAAGCATGCATTTTCATTAGAAGAGACACACTCAGACTGCATGCTAACATTGCCCAGCAAAATTTCTTCCAATCAGTTGTGCAAAGCTCGGCTAGGCGATATAGTCCTAATTTACACTCCTCACCCTTTCAAAGACTAAATAAAGGCAATTACCTCCAAAATCAGAGTAAGAGAAGACACATAAAAAGTTTACAGAACAGAAACAATTCCCAAGTTGCATAGGAAAAAAAAAAAAA